GCCAAAACTGGAAGGACATTTGTTTAATGAAATCAACCCTTCTATGGAGAATCCCTGAGGCCTCTGTTTACGTGATTTACAAAATTTACTCGTGGTCTACTGCTTAAGAATATATTCACTATCTTCAAAGTTATCGGTTTCCTCTAAGAAATTCCAATTCTCCTGGCTATTTTCCCTTCGGCCAAAACGCTATCGGCTTTGTTTACCGGTAATTATCACTGATCAGAAATTGTGGATTGGCTCTATTATGCTCAGTTTGAGAAACTTATGGATAACTTGATGTATGCGTTTATCAAACAAAATCCCTCTTTCTTGAGGGAAATTGAGAAATAAAAAATCCGTGCAATGGAGGTATACAAAGTTTCTCTTTTATAGTAAGATATATGAAAAATTACTCAGTTCTGATTGGTTAAGATAAACACAGTTTTCAGGTAATTTAATGCAGAAGAGGGTTAATTCAGTGCAAAGAAGTAGCAAACCAGACTGAACAATTCCTTGAACTGTTTAGCCCGACTTTGAACTTTTTGCGCCTTAAAGATGTGGAAATTTCATCGTATATTATTGTTTTGATCTTGGTACGCGATTGTTTTGACCGAACGCAAAATGTCACTTACAGGGTTTGAATAAATTATTTTCGAAATCATGTGATTATGTATACTAATTTGTATATTGGAACCAAGAACAATTGGTTGTACAACAAAAGAAAATCTTAATTAACACTTCCTGTTCCATTCAAAAAAGCAAACGCGTCAAATAAATTTGTCCTAACCACACAATCAACCTTTCCTCCCCCCTCCCAATCCACTCGCATGAGAAGGTTACTTGAGTGATGAGATCAGCAGAATGGGAACCAATCCCGAACACAGGGTCATTTCGGCTACTTGTCAGCGGAATGGTCGCCAAATGATAATCATCATCTGGGTAAGTGCGTCATGCGTGAGGAATTATCATCCATATGTACTATACTTTACATACATAGGATGTCCTATACTTTGCATATAATAAATTCCCCATGCATGACGTACCTAGAATTAACTGGTATCCATTTAGGGTAGGCACGTCATGTATGGGGAATTATTACGTCCCCAATACATATTATGTCCTATACTTTACATACATATAATGTCCTATACTTAACATATAATATCCTACACACACATACAGTGCAAAACAAGACTAGATGCAACAATACACAGCTATAAAGCGCAATACAGGACTATACACAGCTATAAAGAGCTATACACAGCTAAATAGAGCTATACACAGCTATGCAGGGCAATATAAGGCTATACACAGGTATAAAGAGCTATACAGAGCTATGCACAACTATACAGAGCTATACACAGCTAAACAGAGCCAAACACAGCTATACAAGGCTATACACAGCTATACAGGGCTATACCCAGCTATACACGGCTGTACAGGGCTATACACAGCAATACAGAGCTATAAACAGATACACAGAGCTATACACACCTCTACAGGGCTATAAATGGCTAGACAGAGCTATATGCAGCCAAACAGAGCTATAAACACCTATACGGGACTATACTTAGCTATACAGAGATATACACAGCTATACAGGGAAAGCACAGCTATACAGGGCTATACCCAGCTATAAATGGCTGTACAAGGCTATGCACGGCTATTCAGGGCTATACATAGCAATACAAAGCTATACATTGATAAATAGAGCTATACATAGCTGTACATACCTAAACAGGGCTATACATAGCTATAAAGGGCTATACACACCTATACAGGACTATACATAACTATACAGGGATATACACAGCTATACAGAACTATACACAGCTAAACAGAGCTATGCACACTCATTTTGGGCTATACAGGGCTATACAGGGCTATACAGAGCTATACAGAGCTATACAGGGCTATACAAAGCCATACAGGTTTATACACAGCTATAAAGGGCTATACACAGCTATTCACGGCTATACACAGCTATACAGAGCTATACACAACTATAAAGAGCTATACACGGCTATACAGAGATATACACAGCTATATACGGCTATACAGGGTTAGACACAGCTATACAGAGCCATACATGGCTATACAGAGATATACACAGCTATACAGGGCAATACACAGCTATATAGGGCTATACAGGGCAATACACGGCTATATAGGGCTATACAGAGCTAACCAGAGCTAAACATAGCTACACAAGGCTGTACACAGCTATACATGGCTATACCCAGCTATACACGGTTGTACAGGGCTATACACAGCAATACAGAGCTATACACAGATACACAGAGCTAAACACACCTCTACAGGGCTATACATAGTTGTACAGAGCTATACGCAGTCAAACAGAGCTATGAACACCTATACGGGGCTATACCTAGCTATACATGGCTGTACAGGGCTATACACAGCTATACAGGGCCATACATAGCTATACAGGGCTATACATAGCTATACAGGGCTATACACGACAATACAGGACTATACATAACTATACAGAGGTATACGCAGCTAAACAGAGCTATGCACTCCTATTCAGATCTATACCATCGCCCAGAATGCTATTGTCTTTCGCGACATGTACTTGCAGTGCCCATTTAATCAGCGGGCAGCATAATAATACATGAGTCTCTTTGCTGATTTCAGCTGCTGTCAATCAAACGGTTGGATGTGTAAAGTAAATCCCAAGTTGCCAACAGTTACGCATCTGAATTCATAACATTTGTTTGTACATAACACTTTTCTTAAATAAACGGTTATGCTGAATTTTGCGAACATTGCCAGACGTATTTAAGTAAGTAAGTAACTTCATTTCTGAGTCAAACATAAAGACCAGCCAAAGGAAAAATTCTAATAGGGGACATGTAAGAGAATAATGGTATCTTTAAAGTTCGATTAGTTCAACAATCGCACTCGCAAAAAAAGTAGGTTCCATGAACCTCCAACCAAGGATTGAGGTCGATAGCCGGATGTTCTGTTTTATGTTATTGCCTATTTTCTATTTCGTTAAAATCGCTTCAATCGGTAGAGAAAAATATGAGCGATGCTTCCGACAACCGGCTTGTGATTGCGACGATCGTCGAGATAGAACTAAAGTCTATCTTGCGACAATAATAGGAGTGTGGTTTCCATATGATAGTAACGATTGCTGAATATTTTTGCAGCGATCGCAGCGATCATATCTTAAAAGCTTTTACAGTTTTTTAAGCATTCTCTAGAGAAATCTAGCAATTGAGTGACAGGGATATACAGGGCTATACAGAGCTATACACAGCTATACAGGGCCATACACAGCTATACACAGCTATACACGGCTATACAGGGCTGTACACAGATGAACAGAGCTATGCACACTTATTCAGGGCTGTACAGGGCTATACAGAGCTATACAGAGCTATACAGGGCTTTACAGGGCTGCATACAGATATACCGGGCTATACACAGCTAGACACGGCTATACAGGGCTATGCACACCAATAGAAGGCTATACATAGCTTTACATACCTATACAGGGCTATACATAACTATAAAGGGCTATACACACCTATACAGGACTATTCATACCTATACAAGGATACACACGGTTATACAGCGCTATACGCAGCTAAACAGAGCTATGCACACTTATTCAGGGCTATACAAGGCTATACAGGGCTATATGCACAGCTATACAGAGCTATAAAGGGCTATACAGAGCTATACACAGCTATACAGGGCTATACAGGGCTATACACGGCCATACACAGCTATACAGGGCTATACAGGGCTATACAGAGCCATACACAGCTTGACAGAGCTATACAGAGCTATACACAGGTATACACAGCTATACAGAGATGTGTAAAATAGGTTAGAAGGAATATTAAATTCCAATTGCTATTCTATCAAACGATTGTAATCGAAGGATTAGGCACATGAAAAATGAAATTAAGGGCGTGCGCATTTGTTTCTTCTAGAGTAAGAATAAACTAAATAGGTTAACACCTGAATTTCTTCGGGCGTTGAATTGAAATAACGTTACTTTCAATAATTATATTGTTACACCTGTAGAGCCGTATATAGCTGTGTATAGCCCTGTATAGCTGTTTGTATATCTTTATAGCCATGTGTAGCTCTGTATAGCTGTGTATAGCCCTGTATAGCCGTGTATAACTGTGTATATCTCTATATAGCTGTGCATAGCTCTTTTTAGTTGTTTATAGCTGTGTATAGCCCTGTATAGCCATGTATAACTGTGCATATCTCTGTATAGCTGTGTATAGCTCTGTATAGCTGTGTAAAGTTCTCATTAGCTGTGTATAGCCCTGTATAGTCGTGTATAGCTGTGTATATCTCTGTATAGCTGTGTGTAGCTCTGTATAGGTGTGCATAGTTCTGTTTAGCTGCGTATAGCTCTGTATAGCCTTTTATAACTATGTGTAGTCCTATATAGATGTGTATAGTTCTGTTGAGCTGCGTATAGCTCTTTATAGCCCTGTATAGCTATGTATAGTCGTATATAGGGGTGCATAGTTTTGTTTAGCTGCACACAGCTCTGTATAGCTTTGTATAGCCGTGTATAGCTATGTATAGCCCTGTATAGGTATGTGTAGCTCTGTGTATCTCTGTATAGCTCTATATTGCTGTATATAGCCCTGTACAACCGTGTATAGCTGGGTATAGCCATGTATAGCTGTGTACAGCCTTGTGTAGCTATGCTTAGCTCTGTATAGCTCTGTATAGCCCTATATAGCCGTGTATTGCCCTGTATAGCCCTATATGTATAGGAAATCGTATGAACGCGAGTGCATTTCGTGATTTATGGGCAAGAGTGATGTTTTGAAAGTTCTCAAAATTGCACGAGCCGTAGGCCGTATGTAAAGTATAGGACATAATATGTATTGGGACATAATAATTGTCATACATGAAATAAGTATTCGATTGGTGATCATGCCGCTGACAGGGAGCCAAGATGACCCTGGGCTCGAGATTGAACGGGAACTGCATTGAAACATTTTACCTTAGCAACCGCGTACTTTGAGTGTCCCTTCCCGAATTTATCTCAGAGGGAATGGGGTGGCTGTACACAAGCTACACGATAGTATCATTCAATTGTCCATGGAAGTTGAAAAAACAGCTAAAATCGTTTGGTTTTGGTCCTAATCTTGCAGCGGTCGATTATTTTGGCCTCCAAAATGAGTAGACGGGTGTTTCTATCCAGTTCTTCCCATTCAGAGGGAGCGACCCCTCTCTCGTTCGAGAAAGTAAGTACATTAATTAGACATCAGCGATGTAAGTAAGCTTTTCTTAGCAAACCAGATCTAATAAGGAGTGCGAACGACAAAAATGGGGAAATATATTTTTCAGCTGCCCCTTTAGATTATTTTTTAAAACATTGTCAGTAGCAGAGGATAAACCCAGTTAGCGTGCAGGGACAAACCTTTTGGTTATTTGCTGTATTTTTCTACATAATATCATCTAAAAATTCTTAAAGTTCTTAAAATCGTCAAGTTTTCTGAATATCCCATGTGAATCTATAAATCCTAAAAAAAAAATTTAATTGAGAGTGTGCTGTATCTGGTAAACTTTTTGTGGTGGTTATCAACATCTAGATGTATCAAATTTGTAAAATCCCTCTGAATCTTGAATCTCATGTCTGATATTCATCATCTTAATCTTGAAAAAAAGGTAGATACACATATGCCAATTTTAAAGTGAGTTCATGTTAATGTTTTGTCATTTGTTATCAGTGCTGTTTGACTACAATGCAATGCAGTGGTCACCAGATAAATGCAGAATTTTCGTACCAGGATGAAAGACTGCTTCTGTATCCCAGTGATCAAGGAGTAAGACTTATGGTGAGATAACAGTTATCCCTTTAACTCCCAAGATATGATTGTTAATTTCCCCCTCTCTAGCTGCTATGCATTTCTCTGTAAAATAGTAATGAGAATTTGGTGTTAGATCAAGTTAACAACTTCCTCCTGATAAGTTTGATTATCCAACTCTATTAAGTATAGTACAAATATCTTACTCACCATCACAAATATCAGGTGATGTTTGGACAGTTGATTACTTTGTACAGTAAAAACCTGTTTAACTGGTTGGCTGCTTGTACTGCGCTTTTCTTTCTGCTTTGCATTTTTCCCCAGGTGGAAATCTTATTAAGATCTTACTAAGATTCTTGTAAGTTTCTTACTAAGATTCTTATTAGGATTCTTAATTAAGAATCTTGTAAGACCTTACAAGATCTTGTAAGAATCTTGTAAGATCTTACAAGATCTTGTAAGAATCT